ATGTCCTTGGGAAAGGCACTTTACACGAACTTCCCACTTGGCTCGGTCCTATCGGAGACGGACGTTTAACTAGGAGGTCCCCCCCCCCTTAAATAACCTAATAGTGTTGATAGGGGCGGTGTTAAAGTCATACCATTTCACCATTTTTTTTTAAATAATTTTTTTTAGCTACAATCATTTCTCATTGTCTAACAGCCTCTGTGGTCTAGCTGTTAGGCATTTTCTCATCGCTCACAAGAGACATGAGTTCGATTCCCTAATGGAGTGGGTTTCCTTACGCTGACAGTCTCCGTCTGTTGGCAGAGACTTTTTGTCACTCTCAGTCCGAGTTGGTCCTGGCAATCAATTATTATTAGAACAGGTATGGAAGCATTTTAAAGATTTAAACTGTTAGAAAAGGTATAGGTTTAACGCCCCTTCCAACACGGTCCGGTTATTCAAGAGGCGGCGGGACCGGCGAGTTTAATGTCCATTTCCGCTGTGACCAAGCTGAAAAGGAAACTATGTATAGCACCTTCCCCAAGGACACAACTTCGGACTGAGCTGAGCCTTGAACCGTTTGAACGTCTTTACTTTTCCTCCCTGCACTGGGGTTTTTTTTCCGGAGTGACGAAAACTTTGTCCGAATATTATTGACCAAGCTTCTAAACGATCACATTGTAAATATGAATAATTGATTTAGATGTTATAATATGAATAATATAAATAATATAAATAATACGACTTAATAATAATGAACATTCCTAAGTGCGTCTTTAATTTTCATTCCTGTGGGTTTTTTTATTCTTTTTCCTAAAGCATTAAAGTATTAAGAGACAATATTTCTTTCTATGCCATTGTATTTCTTTTTTAAAAGAAGACTAATTCCTCTCTACAAAAATATGAAAAGCAAAATAAAAAATCTGACTAACAACCCCGCCCCCTCCCCAAAAAAAAGAGAAATAAAAAAAACACAAGAAGACATGACAAAAAAAGTTTATAAATAAGCAACAAGTAAATACATTTTTATTGTGGAGAAATATATACTTGTTGGTAAAAAAATAGAGAAAAAAAATGGAAAGAAAAGAAAATATCAAAAAGTAGAGATGATTAAAACAATGCCTTTTCTAATTGAATTAGATCCAAACGTATAACTTACTTTCCCATTTTCTTGTTGTTTTGTAAGTTTGGATTTTGCTTGTAGGCCCCTACTAATCCAGAGTTTGAGACTAACCCACCCACAGCGTGTTGTGTGCTGGACTATAGGATGGGGGTGTTTGCCGTTGTGTGTATTTGCCAGTGGTAGATAGTGGACTGACTGCTTTAGCTAGTTTGATATTGTAGAATGAGATCATTTTTATTTTGTCTGCTGGGGATTTAAATTCATGCACACTCAAAAGTACACGCACAAGCACATGATGTAAATGCATATATATTCACACACACACAC